TCCTTTTTGTTTTCTTGTTCTCCTTATACGCTTCTTCTTCTTCCCCAAGCAAAAAACAAAAATTCTTGTTTTTCTTGATTTAATTACCGCCTGCAAATGCAAATGCAAATCATTGTTTGCATAGGGTAAGACCTGTCTACGAGCCAGAAAAGACCTACATCTTTTCCGCTTCTTTCAACTCCACTTATCCACTAACGCCGCCGTAATCTCTGTCATCAATGGTGGACAAGAAGAAACATCGACGAGTAGCTCACGACTCCGACTCTAATTCCGACGCCTTCCCTTTCAAATCTAAGCTAAAACCATATTCCGTCATCCTCCAAACCCTAAAAAACCTCAAGGCCTCCTTTGTCGTCCCCAGTTCCAAAACCCTAACTCTTTCCAATGTTGGCCTCTCCACCACCTCTCATGAAGTGACCGACCTCCCAATCTACGAGGCACAATACAATATAAGAATCAATGTTGGCGAAAGTTCCGGATCTAAAACACATATGATAGTAGAAACATAAAATAAGAAGACAATGGAAGGATAAGAGGAAACGGGAAAAGCATCTATCAGAATAGATAATTTTTATGTTTGAATTTTATTTTTATTTTTATTTTTAATCTACCATGTGACATGGTATCTACACATTGTTATTTTTTGACGTGGCAGCCAACGTGGAGGAGATTTTATTACACGCACTGACAACATCCTGTCATAAGCGTTTATTATACACAGTTTGAAGGAGTGTAAGTGTTCAATTGGCAAATTATTAAGCTTGAGGACCAGCATGGAAAAGTGGCACAAATATAAGTGCCATTTAGGCTCTTCTGCTGAGAGATAATTCTACAAAGAATTGGTCTGCCTTTTTCCTAACTAGTGAATTTATCCGCGCTTTGCGCGACAATTAGAAAACCTAAATAATCTCACTTTAATAGAATAACATTAGAAATATTTTGGTTTATAGATCCAAATAAATAATATCAAGTTTCAAACAATTTTATTAGTAACACTTAGGTTTATATTTTGCTCTAATATCACTCAGGAGGATTTTGAGGGAGAAATTAATCTCTGTATAGGCAGATAGCTAATAAATCCTAAGAAAGTTCTTTATTTTTGTATAGTACATAATTTCTCCCTCCACTTGTGGGCTAAAATTTTAATATTTTGACAAGTCTTTATTATTTAAAATCTAAAAAGTAGCAGCACTGTCATGGCAGCTAGAACACCATACTGAGTGATCTGTCTATATATGATACTCTCATTTGACTAACATCTTGACTTGGCTCTTCTACAAAAATTTAAAATGATTTATCAAATATATTTGGTGGCGATTTTATTCTTTATTTTTCTTTTAGTGGTATGAACAGAGCATTCTCTCTTTTCGGAAATGTTGTCAATATTATATAAAGACTAAAATGCTTGAATTAACGGAAAAAATACTTTAATCAACAGGGAAAAAATAGAATACTGAGCATTAGTCTCTCATCTAAAAGCAAGCCACTCAAGTTGGGTAAAAATTTGACTGCACCAAATGTTTACACCAAACTTCGCTGATTAACCTTAGTTAATTGATTTTAATATGTGAAAACATGTATTAACTGAATATGATTTGGAGAGATGAATCTATTTACAAATACATATCATTCACCTATTACTTTGATGAACACTCGGTGCACGTAAGCTTTTACCGAGCCCCCCCACCACCACCACCACCACCACCACCACCACAATTCTTCATTGCCTTGTTCTGGACAACCCAAATGTACAAACTTATTTCATACCACTCTAATGAATTAACAATACATAATGTAAGACAATGGAACTCAAGGAGATACTCTATTTGACTCTTTCGCCACCTGATCTTAAGCTACTAACTTGCTAGCTTTGTAATTATGATACTCATAAACCACACATTGACCCATAGACAACAGAAGATAGGAAACTATTATACTTGTATCCCCGTATACAGGCAAAACTGGAGGATCTTTAAATTTACATTTCATAATATAAGGCGTGCTTTGTTATAATTATCTAAGTAGTACGTTAGATATTTCAATCTAGCTTCTTCCTCTCGGTTCAGCTAAAATATAGTTACTCGCAAAAATTACTTTCTCTTCTCCACAACTTTTGGGCACACCAACAGAACCGCAAACTCCCAATATTTTCCTCAAAAGCAAGCACTTTCTGCCCCGACAAATATCAAGAAGAACCAATTTTTTACAAAAGTTAGTTTTTGTAAAATTTTACAAAAGCAAGTATAAATTCCATAATTTATGGAGATCACAATATAGATAAGAGTATTATTTACAAGAAGAGTAAAGTAACAAAAATAGAAACAAACCATAACCTTGAAGTATTGAAAAAAGTTTTTAAAAAAAAACTTCAAATGCACGTCAGGATTAATTAAGCTTGCTACCTCATTTTCAAAGTTATAAAAAGAGCACTCTCTAATTCATAATTCCATAATCTTGCATTGCTAAAGCTTTTGAGCACTACCCATAAAAGCGATGATGTGAAGACATTAGGAATAAGTGATTGGAGCTTCACATTTCTGGTGGACAACTATGTCTTTCCTTCTAGAAAGAGGAAACTCTTGCATTACCCATTTATGAACAAATTTAATTGGAAACTGGTCACAGCACCACCCTACCAATGGAATAACAATAAGGTACCAGAAAAAATAACATATGATATAAATCTAAACATCTATATATATTAATAAAGCTGGGCAATAGACTACTGACGTGGCAGGCCTCACATGCCAGGGAATGCATTTATCTTTTATCTCATTTTTTGGGGTTTCTTCTCTCATTTTAATATCATAACCAATTACTCCATTACATTAAAAAAGTAGCATTGTAGCTGTAACTCCTTAATAAATTGGGAAAGAGGGAGAAAGGTGTCGTTTCAAATTTTTATCAAATGTCTAAAACCTTTAGCCTTTTAGTTTCTACAGTTTTAGAGGGGCATGGTATTGATCTTATATATGGAGAATGTCTTCAAGCAAACATCTTATTACTTTCATAAGGATTATACTCCATCTTTGTCACTACTAATGTTGGCAAGAACTCGCGTTGTTTTCTGTTTACTTTGAATATATTATAATGGTGACTCACGATTATTTTCAATATATTGTTCATTCCCATGTTTCTAAGTGGATAACTAGGTTGTGCCAATTCAGAAGGTTCACAAAATTTAATAGCTCTGAATTTCGATGCCTCCAAGTTAAGAAATTTTGTGCCCAAGTGAGTTTACAAGGAACTGAGGAAGGTATGTCATGATTTTTAGTGTCGACTATTTAACTTTTTATTGCTAAGAGAATGTTGATGTAGAATTTCATGAAATACAATATTGCATTTGCAATCAATTATGGGTATTGATTAAAAATATATCCTTAAGGAGAAATTTGTTTTATGATTTAAGAATGGAAGAAGTTGTTGACAGGCTTGGGAGGAAGACGGAAGCTGAGGTTAAAGGAATAAAAAATTACACGATCCCAAACACCCCGGTCGTGATGGCGCCTATCACAGTACTAGGTCAGCCAAAAAAACACGAACAATATAAAGGTCTTTTGTTAATTCATTTTCTAATCAGATATAATCCCAAATCTTTCATTTTAA